GATAAGTTAAATAAACATTCAGGAAACTGCAAAAACGCTCGAGGAAACCAGAGAGATATCTAGTGGATTTTTCGGCCACACTACTCCTAATACCGTGAACCGCCGCTTATATAAACCCTGGGCTTATACAACTTCGTAAGGGGTTTTGGATGGGCTTATAAACGGGGGGACTTATATCAGTGGGTGCGTTACGGAGGGGGGGGGAGGCTTTGAAGCGGAAGAAATAAATAAATAAAAAAACATTTAGAAATGAGCTACAGCAGTGTTGATCGAAATACGTCTTTCATGTACTGGCCGTTAAATTGAACTTTAAAATATAATAAATCGATTTCATTTTATTGTTATAAATCATGTTATTTATGTTGTAGTTAAGTAGCAGGGGGCCTACATTCGGGAAGAGCTTATAATCAGAAGTCATGTTTTGTTTACAAGCAGATGGATCTATAACCGGGGGGACTTATGAGCGGAAGGGCTTATAAGTGGCAGTTTACAGTGCTTGGTTTATTTTCTTGAATCATTTTAGTCGCTGTGCTTGAGAACATGCTTTAACTATAGCAGGCTTAGACATTTTCCCGATACTGAAGAGATTAATCAAACAAAATATACCATTTTCAATATAAATAGTACCATTATAAAAAGCTGAAGTATAAATTGTAATCAGTAACAGAATTGAACTGAAGTTGTATTGTTAGTAACAGTAACTGGACTGAGTGAAATACAACTCGGGAAGTAATGGGGCAAGAAATTTCAATTCGACAAGCGTGTAGCACGACAGGATATTAAAAACCCGTTTGCGACCACCATTAGTCTCTGAATTGTACGACACGAGTTCCAGTTACTAATTATTGGGTATCAGTAACGAAATTCGACATGAAGAAGCCCCTGAGAGCTTTTTCTGGGCGACAAACTCAGCAGTAATTTCCATTTAATTCACAAACAGTAGGGAAACATTAAGAATGAAGGAGGTGTCCAATTACAGGTATCTAATTAACCGCTTGTAAATTACGTGACATTAGGCTCGCAGAGAACCAATCAAATTCAAGCATTTTGTAAATGACACGATTAATAAACTTTGTTAAGACTTTTATCATACCGAAATATCCTAGAAGCAATCTCGTAAAAAGGACACCTCTTCAATCCAAGTGTTTTAATAGCAAATTCTCTGTCCCGCTCGGATTTCGAAACAAGTATTTTGTTTAATTGTTCTAACCCGCAATATACAAAATGCTTAAAGTATCAGTATACCCCAAATGACCAAGAGACTTAAACGACGCAGTAGCATCAGTTGTTTAACACAAAACGGAGATATGTTCATTTCAATTATTTTAAACACTTTACCGTTCAACCAAAAGCGAAGTAGCACGCAATTCGCTCGAAAAAATCAACAAAGTGACTTCTGCGTTTGTCTTGGTCTAATTCTTGTCGTTTTTCTTAAGAATTTCAGAAATTTTCAACAACCTAGCGTTAACGCTGTCCTCGATCTGTGCAAAAAAACTTCTGAAAGCTAGATTTTGACGCCTTCTTCGATTCCGTTGGAGTGCCTTCTTCGCATTTCAAAAAGAACACGACCTTTTGTGTTTCTTCCTGAAACTCTCTCACAACAGCAAACACAACTTTCTCACCCTGTCCTATAACTGAGTGACAACCTAATGCCAGCTATCAATTCAAAACAAAAGAACGAGAGAATCGATTTTCAATCATAACTTTGTTAACCATCAATTTAGCGTCGTCAAATTTTGTTTCAACTGAAGAATCTATCTAAAAATACCGAGAATTGATAATTTTGAAGTATACTGATAAACAATACTCAATATTAGGATATCCCCCATACCTTGTATACATCATTCAAAGTATTCTGCAACGTTTACTTCTAACACGGTGGT